CATTGTACAGTGACATAATGTGCACCTCGTCGCGGTGAACCTAACGGGTAACCGGGGCTACGACTCGACGTGCAGGAGAAGGAACGGGGTGGTTTTTAGTCAGTAAGAGTCTGACACTCCCTCCCGCCTCACCCAGGCGGAAGCAGTCATTCGATGATTTTCCCCCCTTAAAAAAAACCCCTTCGGGGATAAAAGGCGTGATGTTATGTTATGTTATGTTTTATCAAATAATTAGTAATTGTGGTAACAAAGCTGCAGCCTGCCTGATGATTTAATATTTTTTAAAAAAGTGTGGTTGAGACAAATTAATGTTGGTGCGTATAAAAGTTGTGGCTATTCAAAAGAATTTATCTATTTAATCGAGCGTAGACGTTGTAAGTCGTTTACTCACGATGTGTGCTGAGTCTGGGATTCGATAGAAACAATGAGTTGAGTATTTTACATTATTAATTTTGCAATCTGTCTATATAGAGGTATATAAAAGAAAGTCGTGTTAGTTACACTATTTATAACTCAAGAACGACTATATCGATCTGGATGAAAATTGGTGGGGGCTTGGAACCAGGAGACGGACATAGGATAATTTTTACCCAATACCTATTTTTTATTTTTAACCGAAAATCAAGAACGGGTACGGGAAATATCGGGATTGCGCGTCGAAGCCGCGGGCAGAAGCTAGTTCTAGATATTTTTAAGTGTAGGACAGCCATGCTTCGGCACGAATGGGCCGGCTCGACCGGAGTGATACAACGGCCTCACAGAAAACCGACGTAGAACAACGTTATGTTGTGTTTCGTCGTGTGAGTGAGGTCACCGGATGCCAAATTACCCCCTTCCCCCCCTTTCCCCAATCCCTTAATCTCCAACAATCCTCAAATTCTTAATCCCAAAAGGCCGGTAACGCACTTGTAACGCCTCTGGTGTTCCTGGTGTCCATGGGCGACGCCGATTGCTTACCATCAGGTGATCCGTCTGCTCGTTTACCGGTCTATCCCATAAAAAAAGACACCACCCATGGCTGAACACCGCTGGATGGCAACAGGCCAGTGCTAATAATATGATTAAGTTGGGTCAATAGAAAATTGGAGGATGGTAGATACTTACAGTTTTGGAACATAGAAAAACAAAAAACGAATTAAATAAAAAAACCCTATTTTAATTACCCCCTGTAGGATCTAAGTATCGAAGTTACATTATAATAATCTATTTATTCCGCTAATACTTTATGCAGATAAGATAAAAAATATTCGCACATACAACCATTGACGTATTAGATTATATAATAGGTATTTGGTTAATACTAAATATTAGAAGTATTAGGTAATCCATACTAGACAATCCATAATCAAATTGTTTTCTTTATAAATCCATCCAAAGGTGGTCTATAAGCAATCACCTCATGTGATAAGTCCGATCATTTGCACACACTATGATAATGCTAAACAGCTAGATAATACAATACTAAATAGTTCGATAACAAAAACATAACATCAAGAAACCTATCATCATCCCATCCATAATCCAATCCCGAAGGGGTAGGCAGAGGTGCATATTATGCGACTGTACAATGTAACACCCACTTTTCACTATTTATGTTATGAGTCCAATGTAGGGGTGGGCCTATTGCCATATACCTAGCACAATTCGAAACTCCGTGTTACTACTAATATTTTTTAAAAACCCCAGTAATACTTTACTCGACCCGGAAATTGAACCCGAGACCCCTTGCCCAGCAGTCGCACTGACAACCACTCAGATACTAAACATATACATGTAGGTAATATGTATTTAGGGTTGATTTTTCAACCATCAGTTAATTCTTAGCTGTAGAATAAAATTGATAGTTGACAGTTTTTAGTCTGGAAGAATCGTCAAATGTTGAAAGTTATTCCTCAGTGAAAATTTATCTGGCGATGGAAAAATCGGCCCCTTTTTTTCAAGTGGGGCAAATCATCGAATGACCAGTCCCGCCTGGGTGAGGCGGGAGGGAGTGTCAGACTCTTACTGCCTAAAAACCACCCCGTTCCTTCTCCTGCACGTCGAGCCGGAGCCCCGGTTACCCGTTAGGTTCTCCGCGACAAAATCGGCCCTTAAAATAATAAAATTATTGAAATGTAAATCAAGAAAATTTGATTAAAATCCCATACCGATAAAGATAATTTCAAAAGCAAAATTGTTTAATTGCAAATCACTACATAGTATAAAACAAGGTCACTATCCGCCGTCTGTCTGTCCCTATGTATGCTTAGTTCTTTAAAACTACGCAACGGATTTTAATGCAGCTTTATTTAATAGATAGAGTGATTCTTAAGGGAGGTTTATATGTATAATACAAGCATATTGCACCCGTGCGAAGCCGGGGCGGGTCGCTAGTTGTACCTAAGTACTTGAAACAAATAAAACATAAAAATATTATCTAAGTATCCATTTATTAAAATCGCAGTACCACCAGAATTCAAATCACAACATCTTCATTGTTCAAACTTGTTCCTTTCACACACATCATTGACAGAATACAATCTGAAAATAGAAAAAAAAGAGTAAGTAAATAGCATTAACAGACAACAAACTATCGAGCAATAGGCTAGTTTCCTAAATTTTATTTTAATGTCCGTCTGGTACCTACATTAATTTAAAACTTTAGACGTATTTAATTTAATTTTGTGAGAAAAGAAAAAAATACGTATTTTTTCTTTTCTCACAAAATTAAATACTTTCGACGATATATTAATTTGAAATATCGTGTGCACGTTACATTTTGTAGTACGTTATGACATAAAAAAATACGTGTCTAATATTTCTTCATTATCTAACTGACGGATTAATTAGATTTTTAATTTTATTACCCTGGAAACTACCTAATTATTCATTTCAAAAAGACTTGTGAACTCTGCGACATTACACAATTTTTATGGTATTGTACAGCAAAAGATCTGACAAATCGCCTGATAGTAGAGGTAAGTAAATCAGCGTAGCGCCGACCATAAGACTCGCAAGAGGGCGTTTTAAGGGGCGAAAATCACCCAATGAAGTTTCCTACCTTGGCTGAGGCGAGAGGGAGTGTCAGACAAATATAAATAATATATCCATGGTCAGGCAGACTATTGCTGAATAAAACTAAGTCGTTCCTACTTCAGCTCTTCGAGCCGGAGCCATAATCGGTTAAGTCTTCCGTGGCTCCGAATCGGAATTAGTAGAAGGAATCAGAGGAATTAGTACGTTTACCGAGATCGAAATGAGACCGCTTTCGGCGCTCTGATTGGCCGGCTTCAAAGAACCAACCAATCAGAGTACCCAACGTGGACTCGTTTCGATCTCATTAAACGTAAATGAAACTGCTGCTCGTCTCCTATTAGTCGTGGCATGATGTTTTATAGCCTATAGCCTTCCTAGATAAATAGACTATCAACACAAAAATAATGATTCACATCGGACCAGCAGTACCGGAGATTGGGGCGTTCAGACAAACAAACTCTAGCTTTATATAATAGTCCTTAATATATGACTGATGATACGACTGATAAATATAAATAAATGGGACAATAATGACTCTGGTGACGTCGCATCGCTTGCTTACCTAATTACAGTCCTTTCTTAGTCTTCTTGATGAGGCGTTTCGATGGTTTTAGCAAGAAATCGTAATCAGACTTAGGAGGTATCATACCAACGGGAGTGACTGTGTAAACGATGTTCTGAAATCAAAATATTTAATATTATTGAACATTTTTAATTGGAAATTTGTAAGTGCTAATATTATTAAGAGGAAAGGTTTGATTGTTTATTTGTTTGCGTTAAATAGGCTTATAAACCACTGAAACAATTTGGTAAACTCTTTTACCAGTATGAAGCAAAATTTTCAGGACGTGACGTAGGGCTTTTTGTCACGATATTCTAACAGAACCAAGACCTACCGCTGATTCGTGGCGCTCTGATTGGCCGGTTCCAGTAAGCCAACCAATCAGACTATTACGTTACGAATGCTATAGTTATTCGTCTATGGCACTCAGTTCCCGTCGATTTTACGTATCGCCATGAATGCAAGATACTGAAAACGTTTAAGATCAAACAGATGTGTACCAACTACTGCCAATATGGTGGTACTTTTCTTAATTCCGGAAATTTTTACAGGGCATTCCTTACTCCGCGAACTGGTTGAAAATGGTGGTTATCAATATGGTAGGAAGGAACTTGCTACTTGACTGACGGTATATAAGACACAATAGAAAATGCATTGTGTCTCGCATAGATCTACGTTCGACGGGTTAAGAGAAATATTTTAAATTCCATGAAGATGACACTGCAGATGAAAGCTACACATAATTTGGTTCCTGTAATTTGACAAATAAATATCTATTTCTATTAAAAAACATACCCGTGTTTCTCCCTCTTCTTGAGCATCTCTCAGATCATTGAATGCCTTCTCCAAGAAAGGCCGGAGTTCTTCCTTAGTGCTGGGATTGTTCAGAGCTTCCAACAGGTCGGACTCACTCCATGTTGCAATATCTAAAGCTGGGATCAGTACTTGAACGGGCTCCTATGAAAATATAAAAGCATTTTCTGTATAATTCCATCTACAAGCAAGGAACCTTGTCAGAAATTTTAAGTATTAAAAAAAATTTAGTGTTTTCCAAAAAAATATTAGATTTTGAACACAAATCTTGCTACTGATTCGTAACATTATACTAACGAAAACTGGTTGTATTTCTGTTGGTATTTTACACATTAGTTTCAACATGGCGGCTTGTAAGTATCTAAACCTTTTCCAATGACTGGTCGCAATTGCAACTGCAAAGCAAGAGATTTTATTCTCGAGTTGAGCAAAGTATTATTGCGGATTTATTGTTTATTTCGATTTTTTTTAAGCTTCTTCGCAGGTCATGAAATAAATTACTTAGACATGACTTTCATCTTACCTCTAGTTCTCCAGTTTCATTCTTGCGCTCCACAAAGGCCTGTGCCTGCAACAGAGCTGGACGGTACTCAGGCCTCACGCTGGAATCTTTAAGAGCTTGCTTCAACTCCTGCACGGTCCAGGTATCAGCTCCTGTTGGTGATGGAATGGCTGCGTGGATGGACTGTCGAAAGAATACAACATTAGGTCGTATTTTAGGACTAGCTACTTCCGCGCGGTTTCGTAGCGTAGCGTGATGTTTTATAGCCTATAGCCATCCTCGATAAATGCGCTATCCAATACAAAAAGAATTATTCAAATCAGACTTGTAGTTACGGATATTAGCGCGTTCAAACAAACAAACAAAAAAACAAACTCTTCCGCTTTATGTAATAGTATAAGAGTATAAGATTTTATAAGGGTAAACTCAAACTCAAACTCAAAAGCATTTATTTCAATTAGACCATAATTTGGTACTTTTGAAACGTCAACAAATATGAGATATATAATAGTCTGTCAGTCTGTCCGTCAGTGAAGCTAGGCGCTCGTTCCAAAATGTCGATTCGAGTGGAGAAGAACGAGCAAGAAACTCCATTCGTTACTCTTTTTAAAAAAGTCTGTTTTACATTGCTCTGATACATATTCCAATATTGTACACACATGTGAGAATAATGTAAAGACATACCTGACGCAACATACAAATAACAGAACATACTAAAATAGAAAAAAAAAACAAAACCAAGAGAAAACAAATATCTTAAGTCTGACATGGTCCTCACATATGTATAACAATCCATATAAAATAGTGCTTCTATACAAGAAAAAAATAAAAAATAAACTATTGTTTAAATAAAGAAAGAAATGCTCGATGCCACAAGAAAAATAGATTGCCTTCATCGGAATCAAAGTGTTAAATTACCTATTATCGTAATCTGAACTAGGTACTGACTACATTTGAGTATTGTCCAGTGGAGCCGAACCAACACGCTGCCAAGCATTCCTATCCTCAAGATAATCAATCACCCTGTAGTAAGCTTGTTTACATAATTCGCGCTTAATATATGTTTTAAATTTACTTTCATTGAAATCTAGTATGCTATTTGGTATTTTATTATAGCATTTAATACCTAACCCCACTAGTACCAGCGGTCCCGACAGACGTTGTCTGCATATCCACTTGATTGTATAAACAAAAATTCATTCAATTTAATTCAGCCGTTTAGGATAACTAACCTATCGACTGCAGCGCCATCTGCCGGGATGATTTGTGAATCTAAACCATTCAGGGCGCTACTCAAACGCGTACAGAAAAATTCATTTAAATCGGGTAAGCCGTTTAGGAGGAGTTCAATGACATACACACGCACAGCAGAATTATATATATAAAGATTTAAAATCACCATCATCAACAGGAAAACGAATGATCAAAGAAGTCTCTCTTCCCATAACTTCACAGTTAGGTCAAAGAAACCTTAGAATTACGCATCCCTTGGGGTTTAAATAACATTTAAAAATAATTAATTCTGTATCTTAAACAACTGTCTTAAGACACTTATTACTTTATTGAAATTAGACAAATGAGTTGGCTAAAATATGTATAACGTCATCTTTAACTATACATATTTTGATCTAGCTTTACCCTGTTGACTTATAACATCTGTTATTTTGTTTAATTTGTAATCCTTAATAAGGTAATTAATTTATTCGATGCATAATATATTTCGCTACTACCTATTCCCCCGTTAAATGGTGGATAAATAATTAAAAAATTAGTGCCAGCTAAGCAAATATGTATATGAGAATAAGCTATTTGTTTTTTTGTAATTTTTATACTGAATGTCGCGTGATCGCAATGCAACTACACGTCATGTAGTTGTACTTTTTTTTAAGGGGGGGGAAAATCATCGATTGACTGCTCCCGCCTGGGTGAGGCGGGAGGGAGTGTCAGACTCTTACTGATTAAAAACCACCCTGTTCCTACTCCTGCACTTCGAGCCGGAGCCTCGGTAACCCGTTAGGTTCTCCGCGACATGTGTTTTGCTCTGCCACGGCGTGTTATTAACATATTGGTTGACGAATATTTCTTATCTGTCGGTTGTTGTCAATAATGGCCTTCAAATGGTGATAATTAATGGCGTGCCAACTACTGGCTTTTTATAATTCTTGTGACGTCTACGTAAACATTATTAATCACACATTTTTTTAGAAAATACACAAAAACTACAAGTTGCGTAAGTTTTGTTTTTTGTTATGTGCGTGAATACATATCGTTATTTTACATACATTTGGGTAAATAAATGCGTAGATATTAATTTTTTTACGCAATATTTAGGTAACGTTCTTTCAATAAATATCTATAAAAAGTAGTTTTTTTTATGGGTCAAACCCGCCACAACCTCCCAAAACCGCTGCAACTCCTGTAAGCCAGGATCTACACTAGATACAACCATGAAAACACTGAATTCCGGCGCGTCTCAGGGACATGAATAACTGTCTTTGTTCCCGCAACGAAGTTAATCAGAAGATATTATAAGAGGAGAAGAAAGAGAAAAAAAACGATAGTTTCCACTTCCCTCGGTAAATTACTGCAGGAGACAGAATTAATTAAGCCTAAAGGCACAATAAAGAGACTGTACAACTGGGTGAAGCCCTGTCGCCAAGCACCACGACAATTTGACTAAAAACTAACTGGTTCCTATGTGTGAGCTGTATAAAACGTAGTTAGTAAAACGTAGTTATAAATAATCCACATCTTCTTCACTTCTCTTATATTTTAAGGAACCTCCAAGTTTAGATATGTCACTTAACGATATTTTGAACCAACCTATAAATTACACTTAACAATACAAGTACTCTTAAGCCAAGGTTACACTAGGGGACAAATATCCTGAGACACGTGTCGCCAGCGACGTTGGGTGAAATAGTGCAACGTTGCCAGACTGGTCGACTTGTCTGGCAACATCTTTACTGTCCTTTAGGGTTTTTTTTTTCGATCTCTTTGACTGGATTTTCGTTTTACATTGTTACCCAAACAACAAAACTATGTAACTAGAGAATTTTGAAAAAGAGTAACCTATGGAGTTTCTTGCTCGTTCTTCTCTATATGAATCTACGCCTTGGAATGAGCAAATAGCTACACTTTTAACTTTTTTGGTGTACAAAATGCGCTACTGGTCTAATTGAAATAAATGATTTTGACTTTGAGTTTGACATTAAGTCGCACATGTTATGTCACGCGAAATCGGCTGACTTCGCTTAACATCTCGCCGATACAATGTCGTGGGACATTTGGGCCTTGGCTTAAGTTCACTGATGGTTTGGGGATTGGTCGAATCTAAACCTACCTTAACAATGGCAAAAGATAACTTACATCAGTTTTACCCGTAAACAGTCCATACATGATCTCGTTGAGAGCTGCCTCCAGGTATGGCATCATGTCAGGGCCCACTTGCTTGGTCTCAATGGCTGTGGACAGTTCAGTGAGGGTCCATGTCTTCACGATAGGGTAGCTGGAAGCCACAGCCAGGAACGAAAACAATAATATCACCTTCATTTTTACTGTGGAGAAAATTAAAAGGACAGTGAGACATATTCCAAATTGTAACGGATTTTTATAGAATTGATGATGTCTAAGGGTTTGTTTTATTTACGTTTAAAGTAATCGAGACCGCGTTCGACGCTCTGATTGGCCGGCTCCAATGAACCAATCAATCACAGCGCCGAACGCAGTCTCGTTGCTACAGGCTAGCTGGAATCACACGTCAGATACTTGTGGTCACTCATTCAATGAGAATTTAACTCAAGACCTCGTTTTTAACTAACAGTTATAAATAAAATCACTTATATTTACCGTTTAACTCATAGTCGCCTAATTAAGTAATGACTTACCTATATGGAGTAGGTTATGGAAATAGGTAAATAGCACAGAATATTATATCTATGGTTAATAGAGTGGTGTCTGATTACTTAGACAGCTACTCTAACTACTACACGATTGGTGCCACAGATATATTAAAGTGGTGCGGTGCCTGGACAACCGGCTGTCGCGCAACGTGTAGCGAGGTTCGATTCCAGCACGGAGCAACTCTTTGTATGATCTACAGATTGTTGTTCCGGGTCTGTATGTAAACTTTTAAGTTTATAAAAGCACCCATCGTTTTTTAAAAAAGAACACTCTTAAGTATATAGGTTATTTTACATATACTTGCTATGTTATCTGCATTCGGTCCACATGGTTAAGAAAAAAATGTAGCCTATACATAGCCCTATTATGCCTAAGGCTAACTAGGCAATTGTTTTTTTTTTTAGTTCCCTGGGTGAGACGAGAGTGTCAGACTCTTACTGACTAAAAACCACTCCGTTCCAATCCTGCACTTCGAGTCGGAGCCCCGGCAACACTAGGCAAATGCGTAGGGCGCTCGTTTACAGAGAGGCACCGCGAGACGTACGTGTCAAACAGACAAATAGGGCCGCCTTTTTTTTTAAGGGGGGAAAGTCATCGAATGACTGCTCCCGCGTGGGTGAGGCGGGAGGGAGCTTCAGACTCTTACTGACTAAAAACCACCCCGTTCCTTCTTCTGCACGTCGAGCCGGAGCCCCGGTTACCCGTTAGGTTCTCCGCGACAAATAGGGCCGCCTAGGAGGTGCCTAGAGCGCTCTGTTAATCCGCCACTGACACTATGGTATAGGGTCAGTGGTCTCTACGACCTATTTCCAAGTAAAAACACAAAAATCACACCACAAAATCACCCTGTTGCGACCTTAAACAATGACATACAATTACACACTTTCACATTTAATTTATAATACCTAGGTACTGTAAATAAATAAATTAGGTAGGTTAGTAGGCTATCTATTGAGAATGAGCAAATAAAAAATCTCTTGTGGTTATACACTTTAAAAAAAATGAACGGTTTTCTTGTCGTAAGCGAATAATCTTATTGATTAAGTTATATTAGCAAATAAAAGAAAAAACATATAATTATAAAAATATTTAAATAATGAAATTATCACTTAAAATATCTGAAATTGTTATAAAAGAATTGAAAACAAAAACGTAATAGGTTTTATACATCAAACAAATAAAAAAAACAAAAGACCATAAAATATTTTTAAAAACTCACCTGACGAACAGAATTTCAAATTCAAAAAAAGAATAAACGACTATCAATGTCAAGAAACTTGTTGCAACGATCACAAACAGTGCGAGACTAAAATATGAACGAAGAAGCTACATGAATATCCCATAAAATATGCGACAGAGGAAAAATAAACTTAAACCTGTTTCTACTAGAGTACAGAGTTCAACAAACGTTGAGTTAAATGTAAGCGAGCTGAGGTATATGCCCTATAGAGGAAAATGATTGCAAAGACATTGCCTCGAAATATGTGCTAAGGCCTGCCTGCTAAGTATTTGTTCATTTATTTATTTACAAAACATAACAATATGACAATGTAAATTCCTATGTGACAACATAGATAAATACTTAATAAAATAATACAATAAAATAAATAACTTATAATAAAAACACAATCACAATGGTGGTATGTATTCATTTTGTTTTATATTGCTTTAATGAATTGATTTGTTAGCCAAAAAGTAAAGTAGATAGTAGGTCACGCACGAGTATAATACTTAAAATTATTATTAAGACTCAATAGAACATTACGCCTATTAATATTTTTCCAAAGGGTAGCCAGAGGTAAATACATGGAATGAGGCTAGCTATTGCCATACCTACACAGGGTCAATTGGGTAGTTTCCAGGGTATCAAAATTATAAATCTAATTAGTCCGTCAGTTAGATAACGAAAAAATATTAGACACGTACTTTTTTATTTTCTCGTATTAAGTTGCAATACTTCGATAAAATGGCGCTAAGTTTAGGAGTTCCCACTCGTAACGTCATTCTGTGCTACAAAATGTGGCACGCTGTGACGTCACACGATATTTCAAATTAATATATCGTCGAAATTATTTAATTTTGTGAGAAATGAAAAAATACGTGTCTAAACTTTTAAATTAATGTACCAGACGGACAATAAAAATAATAATATGTAGGAAACTACCCTATTCTCCCTGCTACTATTTACTAAGAATTTTAAAAAACCAATTTGTAGGCACTATTCGCATCGCACTCGCTACCCAACGAGAAATAATTCTTCTACAATTACATGGCGTGGTGTTTTGATACTGTAGGTACTCTATGAAGTTCCTATGCTTGCTTTGCTTGCTTTTTTTTCAAGGAAAAAACATCGAATGACTTCTCCCGCCTGGGTGAGGCGGGAGGGAGTGTCAGACTCTTACTGACTAAAAACCACCCCGTTCCTACTCCTGGCCTCTCTTCAAGCCGGAGCCCCGGTAACCCGTTAAGTCCTCCGCGGCTATTTTTTATTGCTTTGTAAACCTATTGTATTACCCACCAAAACAGAATCATTTTACCTCGGGGCTAAAATGAAATAGATTTCACAGTATCTATCTCTAATAGGATAGTTTCCTAAATTTTATTTTAGTGTCCGTCTGCTACATTAATTTAAAACTTTAGACACATATTTTTTCTTTTCTCACAAAATTAAATACTTTCGACGATATATTAATTTGAAATGTCGTGTGACGTCACAGCGTGCCACATTTTGTAGCACGTTATGACGTAACGACCTCCCACTTATTTTATCTAAGTATTGCAACTTAATGCGAGATAATAAAAAATACGTGTCTAATAATTTTTCATTAAGTATCTAACTGACGGACTAATTAGATTTTTAATTTTGATATCCTGGAAACTACCCAATTTGTAGTGATTCCCCATCTACGTACCTTTTCAATGCGTTCGAACGTATAAGCACTTAATTGACATACACTGTTTTGAATCCTAATCCCATTCGCTTTGAGCTCACTCGAACCTCGGCAATTAACGACTATACAAAATAAACCTAATAGTCGCATTCAGTAGATTCAATGTTGATCAACAACATTTTGTATAGAAGCTGGAACACTAATACACGGACACCAGCAAACTAACCTACTCGAATCTGTAAATTTTTCATTGTATTTTCGATTTTATAACAAAAGAATAATGTTGAAAATCGCATGGAGGAATTTGACAGTAAGGAATATAAGAGTTGCTGTCGTCTGTACATTGATGTATTCTACATTTAAAAAAACGGGACCCAGGTCATTAACCTTACAAGTCTTTATTAAAATTCGAGTAATAAAATTGCTATAATTAGCAAAAAATACGAGATGCACTGACGCAGGACGCAGCGATCACATTTTTTACTATAAAGGTTGAATGACATGCTTCATTAAAACAAAATATATTAGACAAAGATACATATGAATAGAAACAAGTTATCATAACGTCATACCTTTTGATCGTCGAAGGGGTAGACAGAAATGAGGCCCTTCATCAGTTATGTTGAAAGTTCATTATAAAACTGTGCTACTACTGAGAATTTTTTAGGAACCGGATCCGGGATCAAACCTAGCACCGTGAGGTCGGTAGTTGCACTTGCGACTTTTTGTCGCGATCAACGGACTCGACCGTACCGACGTCCGACAGACAGGCGAAATATAATAAACTAGTTATTACTTAATTCTCTTGTCCTTTCAGCTATTAACAACTAAAAACTACCACAAAGTTAATTTCGACGGTTCATTAAACTGCCGTCACCACTGGACACTGGCAGTATAGTCGACAAGATCGTTTTGGAGACTCGTTTGCCAAAGAGAGAAGAAAAAAATACTTAATTCTGTGGCAGAATACAGGACAATCTACAGTTTATAGTGCTTAACAAAATCGTTCGGAATTCATTTAAATTTGTACACAACAACATCTAAATCAGTCCAGCCGTTTACGAGTTCAGTGGCATACACACATACATAATTTTAATAAAAGTCAAAAGTCAAAGCATTTATTTCAATTAAACCATAATTTGGTACTTTTGAAACGTCAACAAATACAAAATAAATAATAGTCTGTTAGTCAGTACGTCAGTGTACCTAGGTGAAGCTAGGTGCTCATTCCAAAATGTAGATTCGAATGGAGAAGAACGAGAAAGAAACTCCATTCGTTAAATTTATAGCTACATTCGTGATTGATATTTATAGCTCCATACATATTTTTTAAATTTTTCGAAGTAAGAAAACACAGTTGGCCCCAAATAATTTTTATTCGTATAATAAATCTTATCTATACATTGTTATAATAATAATTATAATTAGTTAGGTATAATTTATGATATAATCTACTATAGATTCTTTACATTCTTCTCTAGTCCCTGTAACAAAGACAATATTTATTTAATATCTTTGAAAGATAAATGTCAATTAGACTTGTTTAAAACAAAACAATAAATACTGTATTGGCATACAATGAAGAAAAAACATCGTAAAGAAACCTGGACTTCATTGAATAAATTGGGTACTTGTCTTAATCGAAAATAAATTATTTTGACTGTTGAATACAATAAATTAAAAGAAAATCACACTTTCATTACCTAATTGATTTTATGACTCACTTAATTTTAGTATTTTTCCAGCAAATGTTTAACATTGTACGCTGTTTGACGCTATAAAAACGTGACGTCACAATACACAATCTCATACAAAATTTATAAAAAACTGTCGTTTTTTATAAATTTCACTTCGAAAAAAGTATTGAATTTGACTAGTTGTAACAAACAAGTACCCAATTACAATTCACGTAAAAAAGGTTTTTTTTTTAAGGGTGGAAAATCATCGAATGACTGCTCCCGCCTGTGTAAGGCGGGAGGGAGTGTCAGACTCTTACTGACTAAAAACCACACCGTTCCTTCTCCTGCACGTCGAGCCGGAGCCCCGGTTACCCGTTAGGTTCTCCGCGACTCCGAATCGGCATCGGCCCTATTGGGCCCCATCTGTGGTGGTCTGATGGCTCTTTGAGGCGCGCGCGGAACGCGACGCGCCGTACGCTCGGGTCTGTTTCTGGTCGGACGGGGAGCCACCCATGCTCGCCGTCCGCAGGCCCGCGCTTACGGTGGCCGGAGATCGTCCCGCGATCCCCGACGCCCGGTGTGTCCTTCGCGATGGCTGGGTTGCGAGGAGGCAGCGCTTCGCTGCCTCACGCGTCCCGCCTCCTCCTTAGCTAGCATGACTGCTTCGCAAAAGGAGGAGACGGCATCCCAATCCCCCTCGCTCCGCATCATGGCCTGCACTAGGCCCGGACGCGAGAGGTCGCCATCGCCGATCACTTCCCTGAGGTTTTGGCGTTGCTCAGCCCACGAAGGGCATTCTCCCACCGTGTGTTCCACCGTGTCCTCAGGGATCGAGGATGGCTATAGGCTATAAAACATCACGCTGTGACCAATAGGAGCTGAGCAGAGCGTGTAAAACCGCGCGGAAGTAGCTAGTTTCTTAATACTATTATACTATGTATACAAAAGCTGTTGGTATACCTGTAGTAAATAAATGCAGATATCAGATACTAACTGTAATAACTGTACATAAGTCTAATCTCTTCCTTCCTTCCGTCCATCATCACCTACGCCTCGTTAGCAGAGACGGCGAGCAGTCGTTTGTATGATCCAGCCAGCGAGCGCGCCGTCAGTAGAAGTAGTTCCCGTCGAGATACTCCTGTTGAGGACTCCTGCCATTGTGTGTGGGGGACCTAAGAAACAGGAAATAGGTAAAGAAACTTACAAACAATTAATTTACTTCCAATGACAAAGAAAACAAACTGCAGAAAAATTGCACATTTAAAATAGGTAATAGGACTTAGCGCAAATATTGCCTCTCTCTTTACGCTATCGTATATTATGCTCTCACTACGATCTATTGAAAATACGTCATCTCAGGCGAAGTAATAACGTATAACAAACATACATACTTACATATGGACACTGTTAAGCAGAAAAGATCCAGCCCACATTTTATTACTTTTGAGTAAGAGAAGATTAAAGTAATCATAATATTATGATTACTTTTTTGTGCAAGAGCATGAAAGTAGAGTAACGAAAGAAGTATACAGTATATAGGGCGCCCTAGGCCCTAGAGTCTAGGGCGCCCTATATGACGGCCCCATTCATTTTCGCTCTGTATACTTCTTTCGTTACTCTACTTTCATGCTCTTGCACAAAAAAGAACCCCTACTAGCACTTTTGTGCACTGCGGCAAGTTAACCATTAACCGAAGACCAAAATTAATAAATTCAACAATAATCACAGACCTTTTTACGAGCCAATTTTTCAATAAACAGTTAATTCTTAACTGTACTGAATAAAATTGACAGTTGACAGTTGTTAGTATGGACGAATTGTCAAATATTCAAACTTATTCCTCTGATAAAATTTGTTTTTATAATAACTATCGTGAGACACACTAAATTAAGTAAAAACGCGGGTTACTCACGTGAATATACTGAGAAAAGCTCTACTAGTTTCGAACTACAGAGGGGTTCTTCCTCATGAGCAGCGTGCGCGGCGATGTCGCGCAGCTCACTTCACATCTTTTATATATATATATCATTACTTTAGTATGTCTCACGATAGTTATTCTTAGCACATAAGGTTACTCACGTGAATATACTGAGAAAAGCTCTACTAGTTTCGAACTACAGAGGGGTTCTTCCTCATGAGCAGCGTGCGCGGTCGCCGCGACCTGCGACGCTGCTCATGAGGAAGAACCCCGCGTTTTTACTTAATTCTGATAAAATTTAACTGGCGTTGGAAATATCGACCCTTTACACATTGCCATAAGGATCAGCGATGACCCACGTTAGCGGATAATTTGCCTTCTGTAGTTTTTTATTGCCAGTCCCTTAATAAATTTTTCTCTTAGAAAAACTAACACAAAATCAATTTCATGTTTACCTGTAAACTAGCGGCCATAATAGAGCCGATGGTGACGCTGTACCCAGTCTGTGCGTGCGGGTAGTCCGCGGGCGTGGCGGCGGCGGCGGCGGCCACGGCGGCGGCCGGCACCGCCGCGCCCTGCGACTGCAGCTGCAGCTCGATGCCCAGCGACGGCTGCGACAGCACCATCAGGGACAGCTCGTACCATCTGCCGGGACACAAAAATTTTCGGAGTGTTGTTAAAGTTAAAATCTAAAGCGAATTTTCCAATATAAC